TTTGCTGCAACCCCAGAAGCTGATCTAGGAAGACATTTCCAAGCATGGGCTCGGCATTCAAGCGTTGGGTTTCCTGGGAATCTAAACATGTTCGAAGGAAAATGATGCGTTCACAAGTTCATTCGGTTTCAAGTGTATGTATATATATATATATATGTATAATATTTACAAATAAAACATAATATATATCATATATATATATGTAATATCAGCATATATCTCAGTAATGTTGGCCAAAGCTCTCCTGCTCCCCATCACGCTGTCCAGCTGCAGCCGCAGGCGGTGCTTGGTGCTCCTCCTGGTGAGAGACGGTGATGCAAAGCATTGCGCTGGGCAATGTGGAACATCAAAACGTATACTATATGTATTTATCAGAATTGGTAAAGATTTGATACACATGGTAAAAACCAAAATAAAATAGTATATCATACTATTGGTGCCCACATATGATGCACATATTGTTGAAGCTAGCTGAAAGGCTTAGGGAAGTGGACCAATCCTTCAAGATCTTGCAGATGCCACCAACATCTATGTTGGACAGAATGATCTTCACCACTTCGTCAGCAGGTGGGGCATCCTGAGAAAATTGAACAAAACAAGTTTCGAAACTACCGCTGTGGTACCCTGGGATAAGATGCCGCCTAGTAGCAGCATGACCAAAGAGAGCTTCAACGCAGTCGCTCCAAAAAGCCACTGGGAGTTTGTGCAAACCTCCCAAAAAAAAGACATGGGCTACACAGAACAGGGGGTGACCTACACATAGTTCTTGCTGAAACATCAACATGGTGCCAGCCTTCTTTTTCAATTGTTTCCTTCAAAGCAGTGGAGCAAGCTTGGTGAACAGCCGCCATAGCGGCGTATATCGATCTCTACTATTCCAATTTGAGATGGTTTGACGGCTTCAAGATATGCATCATCCATGAAAATCCAACATGGAAGAAATCAAGAGGCAGGAGCAGCGTGGATGGGAGGCACCTGGCGTCGAATGATCATCTCCAGGAAGAGGGCCACTTGTGAGCCCCAAACGGGCTCTTGGGGCATTGATGACATGATGTGCTTCCAAAGTATGCCATAGATCCCCCAAAACCAAAAAAAGTAACAAATCAGAAAAAAAGTCACAAATTGGAAAAACCCTATTATTCCATTTGTGACTTTTTTTTGGCATACTTTGGAAGCACTAGGATATATATATATATTATATTATATGTATATTATATGTTTAACTCTAAGTCAGATAATGGGAACAGGAAATTGGATGAACATTCCCAGAGAAAATGTCGTTTTGTCACGATTCCCCCTAAAAAAAATCATCAAAAGCTGAGACCCATTTGTAAGATGCCAGCGGGTTTTTATGATTTCATCACAGAAACAGAGATTAGCCTTCGGTAATCAAACATGACAAAGGGGACCCTTCTATAAATGGAGGTCTTAATGAGCATAAAATATAATCCATTGCCATTTTCGATGACCGGATGGCTTTGATGGCATTAAATACTAGTTATTAATAAGACAGCAATAGGGATACAACAAACGGTCACATTGTCAATGGAAAGGAGATGAAAGGAGCAAATCCATATACAATTCCACGGGAGGCAAAAGCGATGCCAGAACTAATTAACAAAAGGGTTGGTATTAATATTGATACCAAAATGAAACTAATGGAATGGCTAATTAATACCACAATTAATGGATACATGCCATGAACGTTGGCGCAAAAGGCTGGGTTGATTTCAATAAGGAATTGTGCGAAAACCGAAAAATTCTCCAATACATGATTTCCTGACAATTCCCAAATTGACAGAGTCTGAGATGTGTGGAATCCAATCACAACTTGTAGATCTTCAAACAATTTTGTCTTGTCATATTCTCTAGGTGACAGAGTCCGACCCACTTCCGATGCGAACACCTCATCTACATGGTTTTTTTCGAGTCAGGTGAGTCATCGAAATGGACATGGATTGCTTCAACATAGCGATGAGTTTCCCCTGATCAATCCCCGGTCTGACGTGATTGCCACGGATCTTGAGGGCCGGTACCCTCCGGTAAACTCACATAATGGAAAATCACATTTTTTAATGTGTAAATCGACTATATATGATTATAAATGGCCATTTTCAATAGTTATGTAACAAATTCCCAGAAGTTTTTGCCCGGCTGCCAGGGAGTTCAACTACCGCAATGCCGACTGCTGGCATCTCCCATTTCCGAAACGAGGCACGAATTGGGAAAGCGTCATCATGATGACCTAAGGCTCGGCTACGCCATAGGATGCCATAGGCGTTGCAGCCCAGTTTTTGTGGGTAACAACTAACAACCATATGTCCGCCCAGTGACGTTTAATTAAATAGATAAATACAATATATATATATATATATTATATACAAATCCTGCATTCAGCTTGCGGGAAGCCAAAAAGAGACGACTTCTGCAAGACACTGTTCCGCAGCTGATTTCTTGAAAACAACACAAAAAGAGACGACTTTAGCAGTTCCCTGTATATATTATATATATATTATATTATATATATATATGTACGTATAAAAATATACTGTATCTATAAATATATATATATATGTGGAATATCTCCTGCCATGTGCCGATAATAACCATTTATATAACAAGTATAACTGGGATGCACATCCAAGCGCCCTCAGGATTCCTGGTTGTTCTCTGCATTGCTCTGAAACGATAAGGGCGCTGTGCTAAGAAAGAAACCTTGATGGAATACAAATCGAAGCTTTTGGGCATGCCATTGTATACACAAATGATACATACATACTCGTACATAATCATAATATGTATGTATATGTTTATATGTTTCTATTAATATATATATATATATAATGAACACATAGACATATATACACCTAATGCGTGCGTGTATGTAATGTACCGTGGTGCAATGTGGAACAATGAGATGTAATGAGATGTAGTGAATTGAAATATAATGCAACGTGTCTGCTTATCTATGTGCTATTGTAGAGATCAATAATGATCAATATACATCTGGGCATGTCGGTCCGACCAAATCGCCACCCCCCAGCTGCATCTGAAAGACAAAAAGGCTACCTCAGCTTGTCGCTTTTGAAAAAACGAGAAAAAACATATCTCAAAACTTGACACAGATACCCTCCGGTAATTTAACATAGCTATTGAAAATGGCCATAGAAGTAGTTGATTTACCACCAATAATGGTGATTTTCTACAGCTATGTTAGTTTACCAGAGGGTAACAAAGGTCCACAACTGTTTGAACCGTTGAGGTTTTACCCAACTGAAAAAAAAAATCCAGGACTTTGGGGTATATTCACCTCACCGCTCATTCAGGTCATCTCCAGGATATACCCCGACATACGACGCACAAAAGTATAGGAGGAGCTTCTACCGAATCATAATTTGAATCATTATAATCATAGGAACCGGTGATCCGCTTGGGTTCCTCAAAATCTATAGAATACACACATATTTTTTTAAATTTATATATATTCTCTCTGCATGAAAGAATGTATATAATGTGGTTAAACAATCATAAACCATCCCCCAGTCATCACCATTTTTATAGGTGGTATGGTTACCATTCCCAGTCATGGGTGGTTTAGGGCATTGTTTTAACCACATTAAATATTATATTTCTCTCTCTCCCCATGAAAGAATATATACGGATTGGTGGTATACCTACCCCTCTGAAAAATATGAACGTCAGTTGGGATGATTATTCCAAATATATGGAAAAACACATGTTCCAACCCACCAACCAGTTTGGATACCTAGAATCCCATTGACCCAGTTTTTTTCGTGGTTTATAAACCCCATTAACTATAGTTATATCTACCATAAACCAGTTTTGACCTACCATTGATGGTCACTTTATAAACCAGTCACCTCCAATGGACCATCAACTCAAAGGGGGCGACCCAAAAAACGCTCCATGTATGGAATATGTATCAACACTTACCATGAAAAATCACCCAAACGCAGGTAAAGAATGATAAATATACAAGTATACTCTATACTCTATACTATATATATATATTATTATTATTATTGTTATTATATATATACATACAGCATCTGGGAATAAAGATCCAACTGTGTCAACCAACGAAAATGACCAAATTATCTCACGAACCCCGCGGTTCCCTACCATTTTGGACCCTTTCAATGGCCGTCCAAAAATGGGATACTGTACCAAAGCTAGCATGTTCCCCAGCATGTTCCCCGTCAAACAATGCAACAAAACGGGCGTATGTCAGATTTGTTTGACATTGTTTGATCCATTATGTGGATAGTAAACCCGGGGCAGACAAGATTCTCAGAACCCATCTCAGTTATAAAATGTTCATTTTTTTGCGGGAGAAATCCTCATTGAATATCCCATGACATTCCCATCAATCATAGATCTATCAATATGGCTGTTTCCCGCAGCTGACCAGATAAATCACCATCTAGTAACCCCAACAAAACCTCGAAAAGTGTTTCGATCCTCATACTTCTAGTGCCCAACGTTTCTGTTTCGGGCTTGCTCACAGACCTACCACTGCTACCACATGTTTCGGGCCCAGCAACATCATTTCTCCCTGATTCCTGGGTATGATTTGTGGGATGGCACTAAAAATATAAGCTTAGCTTCACCCCATCACAGGTTCGAGATCTCTCTACAATAAACATCCATATAACCCCCAGTTGCTGAAAAACATGTATACCATCCGGTTATTTAACATAGCCATGGAAAATCACATTTTTTCATAGGTAAATCATCTATAAATGGGCCATGTTCCATGGCTATGTTAAATAACCAGAGGGCAACTCCAATAACTATGGTTTATGGTAAATATATCTACAATTACAACTCTGGCTGGTGGCTGATCTACCCCTCTGAAAATTATGAGTGAGTAACAGTTGGGATGATGACATTCCCAATATATGGAAAAATAAAAAATGTTCCAAACCACCAACCAGTATTCCTATGGTTTATAAACCAAGTTAGCCCATCTTAGCCCATCACTTTTTGGGCACGTTCTCCAAACGTGCTGCCGTGGTGCTGAAATTCTCTTGAATGATCCTGCTGGTCACCACATCGGCCTGCAAGGTGTCGTCTTTGGCGATCATCTCAATACCTGGGCACCGCTGAACGTCTATCAGCGGCCCTGGAGGATGAGCTATCTTTTCAAAGCATCGTTTACATGGCTATACGTGTATATATATACTGTATATTGTGAATATCTTTTAAATACATACATATATGTATATAATATTTTATAATTATATGTGTGAGGGTGTATGTATATATGTATATATGTGAGGCCACATGTATGTAGGTATGTAATATTCTATACTATTTGTATGTGCACGTATACATGCCTACCATATTTGGATATATTTGGATTATCAATACGCAAAAGCTGTTCGTCATATACAGTATGACTGTATGGTAAGGTCATGCAGGGTGAGGTTCAACAGGCCCAATCCTATGATATCAGCAGGCCGCCGAGAGGTGTGGAAGTGCAGCCGCTAGCAGCTGTTAAAGCTATCTTCGGCGAATGGGAACGTAGGTACCAGTCCATGCTTGGGTTTACTATCAATGATTGATGTTTAGATAAATACCATATATTATCAATAGTAATCTTCATTTAATCTAGTATCTTTAGGTTATGGTTTATTGATGTTTATTGTCTATTAGCCAACTTTACGCTAAAAACAAGTGACTGGTAGTGGGCCAGATAAAACGACCCAGAAAAAAAACATCATCACACCTCTGAATCCCAAACGGTTTGGGATAGTGTTTTGTGATGCTCTCAAGTACTGCTTGCGATACTGCAAGTGGGTAGCCACCAGCCACCAGCTTGCTGGTTCATCAGTAGCTTCACCAGATTGGGTCTGTTTGGGTCAGGCCCCAAATAAAACTGAAGCACCTTGTTATTGGCCTTCACCTACTGACGAAATTTGACCATCAAGCCCTGGTGAAATTCGATGACATTGTCCCCATTCCGTAAACCTCAATAAATTGCAATGTGTGAGCATTCATTCTGCAGTTATGGCCCTTTACCAGTTATAAGTACTTATAACCCCATTTATAAAATGTATAATCCCACTTATAACCAGTTATAACTTTCATAAATTGCCATAACTGTGATTAATTCAACTTTACAAACTCCGGACTCGATATTTTTGCTGCTAACACCAACCTTCCCACGTTTCCCATTGAAAAAAACACCCAACAAAAAATCGCAGCCTAGAGACCGAGGACGGCGAAGATATAGAGCACCTAGGCTCTAAGCAATGCGGAGGTAAGCTATGGCTAGATATAAAGCCATACAGTTATGGTCATTTATGAAAGTTATAACTGGTTATAAGTGGGATTATACATTTTATTTTACTTATAACTGGTAAAGGGCCATAACTGTAATATTTGATTTACATTACCATTAATAGAAATAATGCAATATATATATATGCTAGATACTCTGGTTCTGTGGATTCATACGGATACTAGACAATGCTAGACATAAACAATTAGGATAGGAAGAAAGGACTGACATGAACAGTGACATGGGGAACATGAAAACAACCATCATACAACAAAATGAAGTGTTTTTTTTCAAAATCGTGCAATTCTACGAAACTAAACCTTCATGAACACTATATCCCAGATGCTCCATGGTGCTGTAATGACTTTGCCTGCATAGAACCCCCAAAGTCATGCCCCAATCATGTAAAGTGGGATCATCCAACAGCCGCTGGAGTTTTTGACCGCTAAAAAAAAAGAAGCCTCTACAATGTTGGGGTTGTTTGGTGAAGTTATTTATACATGTAATATAAATGAATATATATATATAATTATATATATATATATGATATGCGTGTGTGTGTGTGTTATATGATCTACACATGTTTTCCACACACATAAGTGGACTGCACCCTCAAGTAGGGAGTGATGTGGTTGTCTTAATGGTTTTGTTGGGCAATGCGCAAAGCTTTAGCCAGCAAAACTGTGATACAACAGAAAAATGGGGATGCTGCACACGCGAAACCGGCTGAATGGAATTTTCACCTAGAAAATCCATCCTCATTCCTTCTCCCTCCCTCAAAATCATGCCTACAATCGCCAAGGAGCCAAGCTTAAAAGGGCCAAGGTGGACATCATCGTGTTACCTCAGCTTTGCAGGAGCTTGCTGAACCTCTCTATGCAAGCGCCATCGCATGGCCATCATTCCATCCACTTGATCGACTTGATCTATTTGGGCTATATATCATATAAATGGAACCAATTGGAGATTTTGATTTCCGAATCCAATATCATAAGTTAATGGTTGTTTGTCAAAATTCATCAAATTCTATTGGGCCCAAACTAGTTGTGGGCAAATATGTAGTTTTACCGTAGCACGAACATTCGGACATTCCCGTGTTTTGTCTTTCCTATGGAACAGCTGATGTAATTACGCAGTCTTCCTGGCAAACCATCACATTTTTGGCTCATTGACCCAATTTTGATCAATGATAGTGCGATACAGTGGATGGAAGAATTCCTGCAGAAGTTGATAGGTGGTTTTGTCACATTTTTTTTTCATATGGTTTTAACCATACAAGGTGATGCAGGATTTCGCAACCATCCACCATATCATGGTATAGATTATATATCCCAAATTTGGTTGATAGTGATATTAAATCAGTAATTAACCGATGATTAACCACTATGGAATCATCTTTGGAATCATCTTTGACGATGGTTCAAGTGGCAAGAAGTCAGCAAGCCAGAGACCAATCGCCACACGCCACGCATCTGCTTGATCCTTGGAGGATCAACGACGCGACGCGACGCGGGAATTTCCCTGAGAAAAGTCCAACTAATGATAGCGTGAACCGTTGGTGCACTAATCACTCCAATGTCACGATGGTTTATGGTACGCAAATAACGAACTAGTTATTGGGGCTTTTGTTAACCAACAAACATAACTGGGGGGCCCCACATTGTATATATATATACGCATCTAATTACGTATCTAATTATGTATTTGTTTGTGATAAACAGACCTTCATCATTAACAATCCTTAAATATCCCAGATGCTCCATGGTGCTGGAATATTTACCTATATACATGTGGGTGATATTTGGGGTAAATGTAGGTACATTCCATACATGGAACATCTGGGATATAGTTTTGTGGTTCAACTGAAAGCATGGAAACATTCACAGACAGAAAATTGAATCAGAAGAGTCTCAAGAGGCCTATGGTAGCGAACAAATGTGTTACCTGACGTCAAGAAGGGTGATGGCGAAACAAAAAAAACATAGAGCCTGTTGGAGTAAAACCCCTTGGGCCGTAAGGGAACATGGGGGAAGTAGTCCCAGCTTTTCTCTGAGATTCCGGGTCCCGTCCATAGAAGACGTGTCAACCGGCATGTTTCCAAACAATCATCACTACTCGATAAAGAGAAATCAAACCATGCGTGACTGTGGCACTCAAACGACATAACATTCTCAATGGGGCTTCCCGGACACAGTGCGCCAATGGTGGAAACCATTACGCTGACCTACAAAGGACTTCAAGTCTGTGATAGAAAACATGTTGACATATCCAGGACTTTACACTGTTTGAAGATCTTTTGTTCATGAAATGTGCCCTCTGGTTATGTCAAAATAGCTATTGAAAATGGCCATTTATAGTGGATTTACACATTAAAAATGGTGATTTTCCATAGTTTTTTGTCTGTTTACCAGAGGGTATCTCTCAAATTACCGACCATTTAAGCAGCAATGCCGTCCTGGAATCTGCACGATTCCATACGCTCAAGTTCCGGCGCTGAACAGCCCAGGGGAACTGTTGCAACTTGTTACGACATGTTTTTTCCAGCCATATGAGGTTCCACTCGGGATCAATCCAGCCAGAGTGAAAGAATGTTTCATCCAACATCTGGAGACATTATCATGTTGCAACAATTGCTTAGTACATGTTCTATTTTCAGTCCCTCCCTGAATCACTTCACATTTCTATACATGTCTACCACTCACACAAAATGAGTAGGATAATATGAAAATAACGGTCCAGGTCATGCAATCCTGCAGGCAACTCGGACATTTTTACCGATATAGAATAGCAACACCACAAAAATAGAAAAGTAGAATCACAGTTTTTTTAAGAACAGATAGCATTGTTTTTGTTCAATTCTTTCGCGGGTTGCTCTGCCACTCTTTGCAGATGAATATGGCCCATCGATGCTCTACCATCCCCCATAATTAGGATCCATGGTGCTGCTATATATGGTGTGCCAGGGATCCCATCATATTTTTTTCCCCAGTCATGTTAGCATATTAATGATGAAAATCCTGACTTCAACTGCGAAAAGGCTCATCCGCAAGGCTCGAATCACCCGAAGCAAGCGCAACGCACGAAGAATCAACACCTGGGCTGGGCCAAGAGGTCCATCGTATCCAATCCCTGCTGCATTTCAATGTCGAAGAAACAAATCGGCTCAACCATGTTCAAGCCGTTTTTGTTTAGCGATGTGTAACAGTTGCTGAGTCATATCACCATATTGCTTACTTACACTATATGGTTTTGACACATATAGCTGAATCGAATGTAAATCATTATAACAAACATAGTTTTAAAAACATCTTTTGCAACAAGTGTACCCTCCGGCAACCAACTTAGCCATTAAAAAAATCAAATGTTCATGGAATGTCCAAAGTTTTTGTATGTTTACTGGGGGTATGCTTTTTGATGGGATTCCATGTCATTCCAATATATTCCTAATTATATCCATCTAACTAACATAACCCACACACACATGTATATATATATATATGTGTGTATTTAATATGCCTATAATATACATAATTATGCAATTCCAGCTTATAAATACTTCTAGCACATGTACCCTCTGGTAATCTAGCATAGCTATTGAAAATGGCCCAGTCGAGATAGTGGATTTACCCATTGATAGCATGGTGATTTTCCATCGTTTTTTGTATGTTTACCAGAGGGTAACCCAATATTTTCCCATTATCCATACATCTTTAGTAGGTAAATCAACTATAAATGGTCATTTTCCATAGCTTTTTGTATGTTTACCAGAGGGTAAACCTCCATTTTCCCATGGTTTTCCTATGGTTTTCCTACGATTTTCCCATTTTCCTATGGTTTTCCTATTGTTTTCCTATCATCTTCCATGATGCCCCCATGATCCCAAACCCGGCCGTGCACCTGTTGGATCACCGCTGGAAAGCTGGCCACAGCGCCGATGACCTGGCCCAGAAGGGACACCGTGACCAAGACGAAGTCGAAAATGAACCAGGGATCTCGAAAGCAGCGCCTCGTTAAACCAGCGATTCTCGAAATGGTGAAATGTACATATATATATATATATATATGGTTATTATATGGTTAATAATATGGTTGTTATATGCTTAATAATATGGTTTATACGTGGCTATTATATGGTGCATAATATTGACAAATGATTTCCCCATTATAATAACCATTCATCACCACCATGAATGGTTATTTTTAGTGGTGGTGATTTTTAATAACCATGATAACCATAAGAATGATCCACCATTAATAACCAATAATCATTAATCTAGACTGGGTGGTGGCTTCAACCTACCCCTCTGAAAAAACATGGAGTGAAAGTCAGTTGTGATGATGACATTCCCAACTGAATGGAAAATAAAAGCCATGTTCCAAACCACCAACCAGGATATATATATATATATATAGATATATGGACCATAGCCCCTTGGTTTCTCAATCTATGTGATCTTATGTGTATATTATATATACATATTTTTAGGGTTATGGGTCAAAACTGTAGATACTGTAGATACCCTAAAATAGCTGGTTAATGGATGTTGATTCCCAAAAATATTAAAATGGCAATACAGTAATAGGATTTGCATGGCTTTGACCAATCCCCATATTATAGACATGTGCATGAATCCAGCATAAAAACTAATTTGTAAGTTATCCATCGTTGGTCACTTTATTGGCCCCCTTCTTGGTCAACGGGTTGCGTTTGGCCGAAAAGACTGGTATCAATTGTGTTTTTTTTTTTAGGGACTCCCTTCAGTAAACTCACATAGCTATGGAAAATGACACATTTACAAATGATTTGCCTATTGAAAATGGTGATTTTCCATATCTACGTTAAATTACACAATGTTTTTCTATAAAAAGGAACTACTGACATGTTGTGCTCCTGCCGTCCTGAGTTATCAGTTGCTCAGTAGTGGCTGGTGGCAGGCAAATTTGACTATCTATATGTCAAACCAGATGTCAAACCAGAGTTGAGCTTCATAATATCCACCATATCTCCTAATGGCTCAACGTGACAACCCCTCATGATATACAATCCTGGACATCCATAAGCGCATGCAAATGATGTTTAAATTTGTCACATTGCCCTCTGGTACTTAAGCATGGCACCGGGAAATCTATTATTTACAGATTATTTTCCAAGTAAAACCTCATCTATCTATCTATCTATCTATCTAGACATATACATATATGGGGGATTTCTTAAAATGAGGGATCCCCAAGTCCCAACAGGTTTCTACAGTAAATGCTTCAGTTTTGGATGAGCCATGGGGGTAGCCATGGGTAGCCACGTCCAACATAGGTCCCCCATGTGCTGTTGAGGCGCCACTTGTTGGCCACCAAGCGGATAATCAGCTCCTGGGCAGACATCCCCTGCCTGAGGTGAAATGGTTTTTAATGTGTGAAGAACACTTAAACGTTTAAACTATGGAAAGTAACTACAGTGCTATAGATATCTATAGATGATATCCATATATATAGGACTACTATATGATTTAAAAAAAACAACTTCTGTTTTTCTTGCAGCACCCTCCCTTTGCGATTGAAAATAAAAAGTAAACTATAGTGACGCCAGCCAAGCGCCAACTTGTTGCCAGAGTCAGCACAAGCTATATATACAGTAATTGAATTGAGTTTTGTTGGTAAAGGTAAAGCTAGCAAGTCCCTGTAAAGGACTAAAGAATACTAAAAATGTACCGTGTGTTTCCTCCATCAACATCACATAGTGACATGGTGATGGGTCGATGGCCATTAACAGCCCATGTTCACCTTCCAAAACCTGGGAGTAAAAATATCCATCTTTACCCGCCCGAAACCTTCGAGTTGTTCGAGACGTCCATTCAAATAAAAGGGTAAAACTATCACCAGTAAATTCCTCCAGTGGTGGATTGACTCATGGGAAAAAGCCAAATAATCGCAAATCCCTTCTTGTGAGTGCAGTTCCAGTTATAAGTGGATAATGTCAACTAATGTCAACATGGTTGCGGGGGTTATATCAGATATTACAGTATCAAATTATCCCAACGTACCTTTGGGTTGTGAGTTGTACCAGTTATACCCAGTTATGTCCATTAATAACCCCAACCGACTCCCAAGTATCTTGACCCCAAAAAAAGAAACGATGTTGGGATCAAGCAGCCAGAATGTAGATCACCAAGAAGAGAACCTCCACGATCCTCAGTTGTTCTAACAGGAATCAAGCATGGCCGGAAAATCGTCATTTTGCATGGCGATTTAATGTTGGAAGTGTTGAATAGTGTTGAATTTCCATTGCCAGTTGCTGGAGTCTATTCCAGAAGATACCCAATATTGTTGACGATCTTCAAGAGTTTGGTGGTTCCAATCCATGATGAACATAAATTATGATATATTCATCTCAATTGGGACGGGTCAAAGGGTTGCAGCCTCCATCCCCAAGTTGCTCATTTCAGCCCTACTCTCGCCATCTCTAGGTCATCAAACATATAGTCAATGGGAATTCCAGGATCCTAAAATGGAGCTACTGTACCATTTTTCAGGCCATATTTTGTGGGGATATTCCCTTACATAGGCCTTATATAGGCCTTATATATGGTTGGTACCTCCAATAAATCGGATCCTGGAATGGCCATTAGGGTCAATCACTTGAGGCAACCAGCATTTGGGTATGGTATGGGTGATGTCATCACTGCTGATCAATGTGTTGGGGATCAAGGTCTCTTCCACCGCTGTTGCCTTCCTGGGATAACCCACTGTAGTTCATTCCTGGTGGCATATTGTTTCAAGATACCCTGTCACCCTGTCCTAGTCAAACAATAACACTTCTAGCTGGTTCGGACAGGATTGTAATTTTTGAGCTGGTTAGGAAGCACCACACCTACTAAACTAGCTCTCCAAGCTTTACCCATATGGGTTTGCCGGTTTGCCTCAACATTGGACGCCCCTGAATCCACTACTTGATTATGAATTACGAACTATGCCTATCAACATTGCCATATACTCTGGATGAATTCCCTGTTGGACACACCCTGAATCCACATGATTCAAGCTATATATCCTATATCATCATTATGATTTCTATTTTGTTACGGAGGCATACCATTAGATACCAACTTAGATAGCATTTACCGTATGATTTCCGGATTCCATTCGCATTCATCGGGACAATGAGCATTTTACCCTCTGGTAAATTAAGATAGGTCCTGGCAGATAGGGGTTGGAAGATTAGTTTCCATTAGGGATTGGTGATTTTCAGGGTCTGTGTCTATTTACCAGATGGTAAATGTTGCCCATTTATGGACTCCGGCAAAAAATCTCCGATTTTCTCACAGAATCTCACAGAATGCTATTTTCATTCATGCCATCTGGGTAAATTATAATATTTCACTAACCTGAAATAAGGCCATTTTGGGATGATTCCCCTCACTGACCATAAATCCAGTGAGGTCGCAGTGAGGTCGTTATAATTTACCCAGATGCCATGCCCCAAGCGTATCCAACCGTGCCAACACCCCAACAGCCCAAGGGACAATGACCATGTCATCTCTTCTTCATCATTCTGAATGCTCATATCCGCCTCAATACCGATGGTGATAGCATTCACCTCAGGACGAAGGGATGTCCATGATGGTCCTGGACCATCATGTCAGGGACTGAAAAAAACACACATGTGATAGATGTGTGTATAAAACACATGGGGGTTTCCATAAATGGGGGTACCCCAATAGCTGGATGGTTTATAAATTTACAATGGGGGTACCCCCATTTCAGGAAACCTCCATAATATTACAGTAGGTGGATTGATAAATCATCAAATTTTCGTTTGACAAAATGGTGCTTTGGCGGCCCAACAAATGAATAATCAGTCAAACTATCTACTAGTAGTTGGTGGTCACAACTTTTCTTCAAAATGATCAATCATAATACAAATATTCTGCATAAATCAATAGTAGTCCACTCACTCCCAGCCCCATAGTTTCCAGATATTTCCCCTCAATCATCCCACGTGTCGCTGGTCAACCCACCATGCTTTGTTGATAAACACATACCATGTTCATTGCTTATACCGCATCACCTGTTGATAAAAACGCTTCCGTTTTCGGAGAATTTGGCAGTATCAAACCCATCATCATTCTCCCATTAAAACATCCATTTATAGTGGGTTTTCCATCAGTTTCCCATTAAAACATCCATTTATAGTGGGTTTTCCCATATACTCCCATGATTTTCCCATATGGTTCCATGTTTCTCCCATCTTTTTCCCATGTCCTTCCCATTAAAAAAAGCCGTTGGCATTCTCCAAGAAGTCCCCCTCCGAGCGTCAAAGATCACCACCGACAGCACGGCTTCAAAGATGGGCGACTCCACGATGCGCCTGGAGATGATGACATGAAGGAAACCATCGTTTTTTTCTCAGATAGATACACTTATGGCCCGAAATACCAGTTATAAGTACTAAGAAAACCCCATTTATAAAATGTATAATCCCACTTATAACCAGTTATAACTAATAAATGGCCATAACTGTAGATACCCTCTGGTTATTTAACGGTTGCAAAATGTGGAAAATCACCATTTTTAATAGGTAAACCATCTATTTCTATGGGCCATGTTCCATGGCTATGTTAAATCACCAGAGGGTATATCATACTATTGTATATGTTTAAACAAACCCAGGTCTATGATATATATATTTTTAAACTACATATATAGGGGTGTCTTGCAGACTTTTTGGACTTCTGCGGATATGGTATAGTATGGTCTAGTCCTGGTATGTCTACCTGCATATGGGCTGTGTGTCCGTCATACTTCATTGTTGCTAATTGTATCTCCTTCGGAGTATTCAATGCCCATTTGTTCGTTCATGATTGGTACAGTTATGGCCCTTTACCAGTTATAAGTACTTATAACCAGTTATAACTAATAAATGGCCATAACTGTAACCGGAAATGCGGTCACCGCAATATACCAACGACGGTAGACCACTCAAAGATTCCTTGTTTATGTCACTTAAGTTCCGAAAACGTGCAAGGTCGGCGGGTTTGTCAACCCAATCGCGCACACAGAACGAATAATTCCATGGTTAATATTTAATTTCATAGACCCTCTGGTAAACTAACATAGCTATTGAAAATGGCCATTTACAGTGAGTTTTCCCATTAACAATTGTGATTTTCCATAGCTATGTTAGTTTACCAGAGGGTAGTTCTGGCACACTACATCCAAAAAGCTAGAACTGCAAAACTTGTTGGTTCTATACTATACTGGACAAGTGCGTGCATGGTTTCAACTGTAAATGTCCCTTCAACGAATCCATTGAATGTCAGTCTGCATTCAATCATGTCCCCATGAAATTCTATCAACTTAGAATGGTGATTACACATCATTATCAATCTAAATAATTTGCCTGTGAGGTATCGCAGCCACCTCCCAAAAAATAAGAAGTATTATACTTTACCAGGGGTTGGATTATTGCTAGTAATGTACCAATTAGTGTCATCACATATCACCAATTGGGTCTCCGTCCATGAAACTCCGCACGCCTACAGAGTCCTTGCGCATAGTGCCACTTCCCCTTTTGCCACAGCAGATCCTTGGGCAGGGCAAGGCCCTAAATGGCCCCCATGTCATGTGGATTTTATCGATGGAGTCATAATGTTGGTAAACCAATGCCACTTGCAAACCATCCCCCAGGAAAATCACCATTTTTATAGGTGGTATAAACTTACCATTCCCAGTCATGGGTGGTTTATGACATTTTCTTTTACCCACATGGTCAATCATTATTATAACCATATATAATTATAGAATATTACTGTTGACGATTATTAACCATATAATAACCATATATTAACCATATATGACAGTATCAATAATATGGGATTTTCCATTTAACCACATTAGTCCTCAAAACCACCAACAACAACTGATATCGCCCAGCGGCCAGGCTTGTGGCCATGGCCTTGGCCTGACGATGTTCGGCCATGAGTTTGTTCACCACCGCGTTGTCCGTCACTGCAGCGAGAAACGGACGAAGTGGCGGGCCATAGGGATATGGAGTTTCGCTTGGAGTGGATCTTGGTGATGCAAATGCAATGTTTTTTTTAAACTCCAAAATACTTATTCTAAAGTCAATATATATATATATATAGAGTTTGGATTGACAATGAGTATCACATATCGTTTTTTTGGCGTCGCGATTCAGAACAGCAAAGGGCCGGCTCTCTCGGTCCACCAAAATCTGTTCAAGCTGCCAGCGCCCCTGGAACAGGCTGGACTTACCTACCGGTGTCATCCAGAAAAAAATCCATTTATACAGGGATTCCATGATATTCCATGTTTAATGACACATGATACCATCATCCCAAGGGTTGAAACCCATTGAGCGAAGATGCCCATGGCGTCATTGCCCTGGGGTCATGGGGTCAATGGGGTCATGCTAGGCTTAATTTAACCCATCAAGGGGGGAAACAAACATATATATATATTTATACACATAGCGACAGATCCTTCAGACATAGATGCATTCAGACATTACACCACACAAAACCATGTTGGTGAGCATCGGGGGGTACAAATCCCTTGCTGAACCCACTGTATTCATGCCAATTTCAAAAACAATAATAGCCAAATGGGCCGAATTTGCAAGAGACCTTGGCGCATCATATCCTGATAGTTCTGCCAAGGCGCTCCCCTTACTTAAAGACCTCAGATAACAGGACTTGGAAGGTACCAGGTGGTGCACCATAGTCCCGCAAGTAGCGAAGTTGGTAAAACCGATGTTACTAGGGGTCATTGTATACAAATGTATATATATATATATACATCAGATATACACATATATATAAATATTATATATATATATATCATATTATATAAATATCATATCATATCGTGTATATATATATATCAAAAATAGTTTATTATATATATATATATCATATATATCGTGTATATATGTAAATATTATATCATATACAAATAAAGGGGTATCATAAACCAAACGCACATGAGTTGGGAGCCGCCATATTGCATGGATTGCATGTGTGTTGTTTGTTTATGGCGGCTTCGGAGAAAGTTCCCAGTTATGACGCCAATCGAAGGAACCAACAAAGAATCTACACCTGGCCATTTCCGATTCATGCGGAAAAAAACAGGTGGCAATTTCCAAGACGATCAGACCCAGTTTGGGAGATGTTCGTTGCAAAGGATGGGTTCCGGGCTGACGTCAGTGGCAAAGATCCAGTGCTTCTAATGGGTTCAATTGATAGGTTGTAACATATTTATATTTATATATATATATATATCTTGAATTTATCATTGAGTTCCACTGTTCTTAAAGTACAGTAAGTTATACAACAGCTATGATGCCAAGAAACCTACCATTTGGGGATGGCCCCCCAATGGATGGCCAGGGGATGGCCAGGTGATGACGACTGGGGATCGTGACTGTGGCATTGGGTGAATCCCCTCTGGTTATGTCAAAATAGCTTTGGAAAATTGCCATTTATAGTTGGTTTTCCCTTAAACAATGGTGATTTTCCATAGTTATGTTAGTTGACCAGAGGGTACCACATGATATCCGTTAAAGAAACCAATCTTTGTTGTGGCTCCAGGATGATCGGATGAACTGCTACAAAAAGGGGCTGGCTGTTTTCACAGTCTTCCGCATCAACCTGCCCGATGCTGACTGGGTCGATGCCGTGAAGGTTTACCGGAAATGTGGATGGAAATGTGGTAAACCCAATTGCATATCCTCGAAATCACCATTTTATAGCTGGGATTGATACCATCCCCAAATGGTAGGTTTATGACAGCCAGGGTTGCCCACATTAATGGGACATCCTAACTTTTTATGTTGAACATATGGGACAATCACGTATATATGATAATATGGGTTATATTTTATCGCCAAATTCATATCATGGAGAGTAATGTGCTTGATATACTATATACTTGGGTTTTCATGTGAATACGTCCTACAAATCATGTAGATGGGGTCCAATATTCAGAATGTGATTTTGCTGGTGCCTGGCTGCTGGATGAATTGGAGTCTATCATAGCATATCCCAAGGTAGATTTACCTAGACTGGATATATTGTGGCTGGTAAATGAATGTAAGTGCAAGTGAATATACCGTACAGGAATAGCATGGGATAGATACACAAACAAACATGTACACGCACACATATAAGATCATATATGAATATAAATAAATATATATATATATGTATTATATAAGTAATATGTTGTACTATTACAATAATATGATGTCTTGAGTCTGAGTCTATGTCACAAAAGTGCAATGGAAGATCCAAACAGAAGAGGGTGTGGAAATGTGTGAAAGGCATGTCAATAGAGCTGGAGCAACGGGAAAACTCAAAGCACATCAAATCACACTAGCTCAGACATGGGGAAGGACTTTTGAAAGGGAACCTTTGAATTTATTACACAAGGTTTCCCAAATAGTGGCACACAACACAAACGTTGGTCAAGCATCGAGTTAGATAAACCCATGCTAGATATGGCGGTGCAGCCAAATATTCCTGCTGGAAATCGGCAGTTTAACCAATTCAACTGTCTATCTGGGGTAAACATACAACAAAAACGTGGAAAAAACATGGGGAAACCTGTTCGGAAAATGATCTAGTGGGTTTATTGTCTACATCTATGTAAAAGCTGGAGGCCATATCCATTGATATTCCAGAAAAATGATCCCCATGACGTGATTTGTATCCCATTATTATCCCTACAATGTAGGGCCCCCCAGTTATAAGTTGGTTTATAAGCCCCAGTAACTATAGTTAGTGTTCAAGATGAATCCGCAACTTTTTTGGGATCAAAGCTGTGCTCTGAAGGTAGTTGGTTCAAAGTGAAAAGACAAGTGTCTTTCACCCAGCAAGTACCATGGGGAAGGAATGGCTGCCATAGCAAGCACCACCTGATGAAGAAGGCCAAGCGCCCCGCAACAACAGCCAAGACGACTCCGCAGCACTAAGTGAAACAGAGCCACCAGCAGGCCACATGAGTGCTGCCCCCCATGGGTCAATACCCAGCACCAACAGAAAACCCAGCACTCAGACACCGGTGTCCCCCAATGCAAGGCGGAAGGGGAAGGGAGGAGGCCCTTGAAAGGAAATGCTACAAAAAGATGGGATCAACTTTCACACTATCAAAACGGGGGGACCACAAGCTAGTGTTCAAGATGAATCCGCAACTTTTTTGGGATCAAAGCTGTGCTCTGAAGGTAGTTGGTTCAAAGTGAAAAGACAAGTGTCTTTCACCCAGCAAGTACCATGGGGAAGGAATGGCTGCCATAGCAAGGACCATCTGATGAAGAAGGCCAAGCGCCCCGCAACAACAGCCAAGACGACCCCGCAGCACTAAGTGAAACAGAGCCACCAGCAGGCCACATGAGTGCTGCCCCCCATGGGTCAATACCCAGCACCAACAGAAAACCCAGCACTCAGACACCTCCCCCCAACCTTGCAGTGATCTGCTGACAAACCTGGTAGCCAAAGCTCAAGCATTGCTTGCAGGAGAGATGATGTGGCCAGAAAAGAAAAGGAATTTGCAAGCATTGACCTCAAGAGGGGGGAAAGGGGGGGAATCACAAATCAAAGTTGAAACGGGGACGGGCTCGTTTAGCCAAAGTCAGCAATCGTTGACGAACAGGTCCCTCCAGATGGATCTCAGTTAACTGTGCTAAAGCATCAGTTATATAAATTCGAGCCGTACGAATATGATTCCATCGTCCAACAAAACACACAGCAGGAAGATCATTAGATTGACGAAAAGCGAAGCTGGCCCCCCCCCTTCGGAGGGAGTACCATTGAAATCCCCCAGGCAAACCTAGGTCAGAGATCAGGGACTTCAGACGTTGCCGCAGGACACCAGGCGAAGCAGAGCGAAGTAAATCGCCCGGCGCCAGAGGAGCAACAAAGTTGCGCAGCGCTCCAATTAGCCATGGATCATTGATGACCAGGGATTCTTGAGCACCTGTGCGCTGTCTCCCTTTTGTCAACGGAAGAGACCACACCAGCCGGGAAGCAGCCGCATTCCAGGTAAAATCACCCTTCTTGGCAGAGAAAAGTTCCCCAGTGCGAGCATAGCGATCAAAACCTAAAAGCAGCAAAATGGCAAGATCTGGCCACCCTTGTTGAAATGAAAGTTGTGCAAGGGCATAGACGATGACCGGGGTGAAGGGCAGCGCCCGTGCGGGGAGTTCAGCACGTGTCCAGCTCCCGTGAAGTCTCCAGGAGCCCACCAGAAATTTCTTACATTGAGGCACAAAATGGCCCAGCCCAGACAAGCAATCACTTGCAAAACTTTTAGGATCCCCTGAATGCCACAAAGATTCAATGAATTCAGAAACTCGACCATCAAGAACAGCAAAGCAGCGTGGATATGAGTATCCATGCATTTTTAAGAAAGCAAGGAAACGTGAAACAGCCTCAAGATACCTCTTACGTGTAGCTGGTGCCACAACTAAACTTTGCAACGTGCCCAATGCCTGCCGCTCTCGTTTTCGCTCCACCTGGCAACGTCGCCCCAACACTTGTCGTCGGGGCATCAGGTCTGCCTACGCTTTTTGGCCCACCTACTGGGGCCATCTGCCGGGTTCCACTGGCTTTTCACCCAAGCTAGGCAGAGGCGAACGTGAGCTGCAAGGCATACGGCACTGATTCGTCGCAAAGGGGCCTGAAGACTCCGCGACGAACTGCGTCCCTTCGAGAGGCAAGACATCGCGACCATATTGTCAACCAAGGCAATGAGGCGCTTACCTTGGTTCTTCACATCTCGTCCCTGGCGTCGAAGAAGGTCCAAAATGGCCACAAGCTCCAGGGTGTTGATATGTTGCCCTTTCTCTTTCCATTCATAAGATAGCAGCACACGCCACACCCAGTGGGATGGGTCAACGCTCTGTCTACAGAGCTCCCCAACTGAGAAAGGCGTCCCCAGGTCGACACGGATTTCAGCACTTCTGTGAGTGCCATTCCTCGCCAACAAGTATGCCAAGGTCTCCTCATCCGTCATCCACCCTTGGGGATCGACCCAGGGCCGGACCAGCATAACTGGCGACGGCAACACCTGCTCGCGCAAGCTCACCGTCCCCGGCATGCCAGCGGCCACTGAGGAGAAGCGGACTTTCCATGGACGATCTTCAGCCTGGACCTTCTCTTCCTTTGCCTTCCAAACATTCCAAAGCGCCAGAGTGATGTCGCTCCTGGCACAATCCTCAGGGCTCAAGACCAACCCCACCAGCAGGCGAGCCACTGCAATGGCTGAGAAGCTGTTGCCAATCATCTGACCCTTCTGATCTTGCGACAGACGCGCCTTGGTATTCAAATGGCTTGAAGTGAAGCCCATCATTCTCAGTTGCTCCTCCGGCATAGGGCGGCGCGGCCCATTGTGGTCTCTGACCAAGTTGCGGGGCTCGTATTGATAAGGCTGCAATCTGTATGCATCGCCCCGCCACCGGCGTTTTGCGGCTTCAGAGGCCTGCTCCAATCCGGCTGGCGAAGGTGGTGGTGCACTTCGTGCCGTTGGTCGAGTGAAAGTGGCAAAGGGCTCCTCTTCATCAGCCATCTTCACTGCCTTGTCATTGAGAAACCAGCTCATTGGCGGCCTCTCTGTGTCAAGGTCCACCTCCTTCACATGGTAGCTGTGACCTCTCATCGGCACATTGTTGATGATCCTCATATCCACTCCTGGGACCATCTCCACATTCTTTACCCAGTAGAGCCGTGGGCGACGACAGCGTCCCACCTGACCAGCCTCAAGGAAATGAGCTGCGAAACCAATTTTTCGACTTTGGACTGCATAGTCCTCATCATCCATCACCACGTTTTCATAGAACTCGTAGAGCTTCCAGGGTTTGAGGTTGAGTTCCTGTGACACTTCTGTCAACCACTGCCTGATTTGCAGCATTGCATCCAAGAGCTGGCTGCTTGCTCCAGCAGCGCCTTGCCGGTTCACATTGAGCGCTGAGTGGTTGATGCAGGGCCAGCCCCCGCCAAGCAGCACTTCCTCCGCCCGTGGAAACCTCCTACGCCATTCCAAAACATCCTTCTTTGTGATAGTCAGGGCATCCTTGATCCAAATGCAATGCCTGCAATGCTGTCGGTACACCTTCATGCACTCCGGAGAGGCGTCAACGGCCACGACCCCCATTGGCTCGAGGCCAATCAAGTCAAGGGCTTGCTTCAAGCCTCCCGTGCCAGCAAACATCTCAATCACCACCATGCGACAAGTTGCTTGGCCTTCCATTCCATCCACTTCATGCGACAAGCTCTGCAGTCGCGACAAGCGCCAGGAGCTCAGGCCTGTGCTTACACAGGCTCCACCGCCTTCTAAGCTGGCATCAGTCGCATAGACCTGCCCTGAGATCTTCATCCGTAGATCCATCCAATGCATCGGAAGCGCCCCAGTTAGGAGCAGCACCTCATCCATTGCCTTCTCGCTAACCACTCGGGGGACGCTTTTGTTCAAGTCGATGTAGAGGTGATCAAATAAACAGGACAGGGGCCGACAGTATTGCACGCTGTGCATGTTCTTCGAAACCACAGACTGCAGGTTGGGTGAGTCAGTACGGACCAACTCCCCGCCCAGCAGCCCAAGGTTCGAAGACGTCAGCGCACGTCGGAACTCCATCGAGCTCCCAACCCAGCCTGCTTCTCCATCTACCTCTGCTCCTAGCGTCACCCACGTGAGCGTCCCCTCTGCTGCTTTGTTTGGGTCACGCCCCACTGTCAGTTCGCTCATCTTTTCCCTGAGGAGCAGCTGTTCACAAGTCGGCTGCCCCTCGTACAAACCTCTGTCAGTCCGCCAGACCATCGTCAGCTGGTCATAGTTGTCCACGTAGAAGGAGAAGAAGCTCCGTGGAGTGTTAAGTGCCTGCAGAGGACTTGGCTCTCCCATCTTGATCATCTGTGCCGGGCTGAGGCCCGCTTCCCGAGCAATGTTTTCAAATCCATCTTGGATGAAGTCAACCACGTTGTTCCATCCCATTGGAGCGCTTTTCACCCTGGGATAACCTGCCTGATCATTTCCATCTCCAAAGGCCCAGCCAGCTGCTTTCTTGTTCAGGCTGAAGAAGCTTCTCCATGCGTAGCCAGGCCGGTAGATGTGGAAACAATGCTTCTGATCCTCAGCAGCGCAAATAATGACTTCATCATCATGAAGGTACAGATTCCCCCACAACGGAGCGTACCCCATCTTCTCCGACGCCCTCACTGGCATGCGTCGTTGGAAACTGTTCCCTGGGATCATGTTGATGATCAGGCGCAATGTTCTCAACCATCTTCCGTCCTCTTTCATAACCCACTTTTTGTGGACTCCAAATGCGCCGTTCCTCACCGGCACATCTTTGAAACGCAGGGTCTCAGATGGGACCTCTCTCTCTAGCATTCCTGCTGCCACCAGGTGAGCCACAACCTTGTTCCACTCATCCTGTGACTCCACCTGCACAACGGCACTTGTGCGTGGGCACACCAGCTCCTCATCTGGAATTCGCAGCAGATCAGGCTGGTTCACGTAGTCCCTGACGGCCGGGCTCACCACATCTGCAAGAGCAACTCTAGCTGCTTCCAAGGCCCCAGGAGTGGTGGGCAGAATGGCCTCCAACGTCAAGGGATAAGACTTCCCCAGTGAGGGGCCAGTGTAGAGATCCCCAAGACTTTCCGCCAAGTTTTCCCAGCTATCCGCTCGGATGCAATTGGTTTGATCTCCGCTAAGCCACTTTCGTGACCACTGTCGCAGCTTCAGGATGGCCTCCTCCTGTGCTTTGGTGGGCGTCTTTCCATGCAGCATCCCCTCAGTGATCATCCTGCCATTGACCCCTTGGCAATACAGGAAGTTCGTCACCAGAACTTGCAACCAAGTCCACACCGTTTCCCCAATCTGAGGGGCCACCTCTTCCACGGCCTTCCAGGCCTCATCATCTCCTGTGCTTTCCATAGCCAAGGACCTGATCCTGTCTTCAATTGCAAGGCCAGCCTCATCCAAAGGTGGAAGGGGGAGCGGGAGCAGCTCTGCGGAATTGCGCTGAAAAGCCTCCAGAGCACAGCAAGTCAGGGCACGAGCAAAGTTCCCCAACTCACCCGGGCGACATTGGATAGCCAGCTTCAAGATCGCCCCGGTTAAGCTCAGCGACATCGCTCGGCTGCAACACCGCTTCAAGATTTGCTTCCACCCCTGGGGGTCAAGATGCTGTCCTGCTTCCAAGCCAAACTCTGCTATGAGCCACTCGGCATGGTGCTGGTCCTTCTCCTGGACGTACAACCGTTGGCCCTGAAGGGATTCTCGGACCAGCTCTCTATCCAACTGACCGACAAAGTCTCGATGGTAAATGGTGGTGCCATAGTCCTTACTGGGTGGCCCCACATACACTCCATCCTCTTTTGTCCAGTCAATGATGGCTGCTCGGATCTCTATGCCCCGCACCACCTTCAGGAGTTTGCCTTCCCCAGGTCGAGGATCAACCCCAACCTGGGGGCTGCCCACCCCTAGAAGGCGGCTGAAGCCAGCGATCCCATCAGGCTCACTCTCATTGACCAAAAAGCGCATGCTTTCTGCCAGCCGCGTCTTCACTTCAAGAGTTGGGTCCCCTGCCACATCAGCGACTGTCTCAAAGAAGCCATACTCAACCTCATTCCACTTTGAAGACTTCCCCAAGCTCTCCTTGAGCATTGCGTGCATCTCAACAACCTGGGGGTCCTGCACAAACTCTCTGACCTTTGTTCTGGTCGACTCCTCAATCTGACTCTCACCCATAGCGCGCTCAAGCGCTCGATACCGGAGGTCACCCTCGAGCAGCCGACCTTCTACCACTTGCCCCGTCCCTTCTTGCCTTTGCCTTTTCCCTTCTTGCCCTTGCCGGGATTGCTTCCGTTCGAGGGAGGGGCATCGTCTTTTCCTTCGCCTTCCTTCTTTTCTCCTCCTCCGGCGGCTGCGACTCCTCCGCTCCACGCCTGTCTCCTCCTTGGCCATTGATCCTGCTGGAGTCTCAGGTCCGCCTTCTGCTCTTGTTGGGCCGCTTTCAGTTCTTGGCGGAACCATGCTCTCTGTTCCTCCTCTGGCACGACCAACTCTAAGAGATTTGCCTGATTCCAGTGCCCCTGGCTCACAAACAGCTCTATCGATTTGATCCTCTGTAGAGCCACATCCAAAGCTCTCAAGGGGTCGTTCAGGGCGACCATATCCACCAGTGTGGTGAGCGTTCTCAGCTCTCTCATGTTTCTCAACCCGATCGACCCCTCCGGATGCCTCGGGAGGTATATCTGATTGAGGTATGCCCTGGCCACCGCTGGCATCTCCTGGTCTCTCTCTGCCGCTCCCCCACCCGTTGACCTCTGTAAAAGTTCCTGGAACCTGCGTAGCGTCAGATTGGCCAACATCCCTGGCCGTTCTTGGTGCAGACGAGGAAGACGCTCGGTCCCCTCGGGCAGGGCGGCAAGCCGAAAAAGCGACTCCGAAGAGGAAGTCGACGTTGCAGAATCCTCACTGGAGTCGTCTTCCTTCTCACGGCCACGGCTTCGCGCTTTCTTGTGGCTCCTCTCTCGGGCCCTCTTGTCTCTTTTTCGCTTCTTCTTCGAAGACTTGGCTCCCTTCATCTTCAAAGCGCTATCAGCTGGCTGGGGGGCCGTCCTCTGGGCGATCACTTCTTGAAGGTCACCTCCCCTTGTCTTCAATGCACCCTCTCGAGCACTTTCTTCCTTGGGTTTTGCAGGTTTTGGGGTGGTTGCCACCTGCTTCTTGTGCGGGGGCTCCTCAGCCTGATTGGCACCCAGTGCGGCTGCCAAGCCATCAATCCCTGCCTCACCTGTCTGCACCTCTTCTCCAGCGCCAGGAGGGGGTGTGCCAGGCCTAGCAGGACCAGGCCCAGCGATCCCACCTCCCCCGCCAGAAACGAGGCTGAGGTCCATCAATCGCTCTGCATCATCTTTCTTCTTGCCATTCAGCCATCCAAGCTTTTCATAGCTCTTGCCTGGCAGCACCCTGAAGACATCCACATGGATGGGGCTCCTGTAGACCGTCTCATCGGTACATCGATGTGCCTGGCGCTGGCAAAAATGCAGCGGGATTGGCCTCTGCCCTTACGTGTTTTCAAGCCACCACTCGTAGTACTCATCCTCCACGCTGACAAACTTCCCCAACCACGTTTGCCCTTCTCCTGGTTGGACTTCTGTTCCACGTTCAGTCAGCTGCACCAGGCCGCATCCTTGCTGTCGCCCCAAATCGTCGTAGACCGACACTTCGAGTAGAGCCAAAGCTCCTAGACCAACCCAATGGTCTTCTCCGGCCTTTCGACCGGTCTTTCTCCATGGCTCAGGGTCGCTCATGGCCAATCCAAAGCACCGCCTCCTTCCCCGGTACGGACCAGGTTAGGAATTGGCACTTAGATTAGCCCGGCGACCAAGAGCCACCTCTATAACAGTGTCCCTTGAAAGGAAATGCTTGAGCCAAAATGGCTACGGATGTAGGGCCCCCCTGTAGGGCCCCCCAGTTATTATCCCTACAATGTAGGGCCCCCCAGTTATAAGTTGGTTTATAAGCCCCAGTAACTATAGTTATAAGTACCATAAACCATAGTTATTGGAGTTATAAACCAACTTAGCTATCTTGGGGGCCTCACATTGTATTAAGTCATATATTTTGCATAGACAGTGGATCAAGTCACTTGGATCAGTTGGGGCCTTGGAGAAACCCAAACGTTGACTAAGGAAGAGTAGGATCACGCAACAAATCACCAAAAATCATGAACATCATTTTTTTTGGACGGTTAAAACTTCAAACACCAACACACAAAATGGTTCAAGTTGCTTAAATCCAGAGTATTCCAGAGTAAATCACTGACGAATTGAGTGGAGTGTCCTCTTAAATTCCACGAAATCCCACGATTTTCTGGTTGGTCAGTCTTGGCCACAGCCCTGCCTCGTGCTCTCCGTTGTTCGCCACTTTGGAAGCTGAGATCTCCGCTTCTATCAGAGCCACATCACCCTGTTCCAATCCGAGGAATGATGAAAAAAGTGGCAAACCACGTGGGGAAAAGATGTGTTGGGATGTCCGTTCTATGCATACTTAAAAACATCTACTTGTGAACATCTATGATATACAAATATGGATATAGATATACATACAACGATATGTATGTATATATATATATGATGATTTTGAGATTTTTAACCTACCAAGATTGACTTTACGGATGCGATGAACTGCGCAGGCTGATTTTTCATTTTTCTGTCCCAGGTCAGTCGGTTTTCTGTTCCAGATCTGCCGATATATGCCACTAGGGTCTAGGATACCCTACCGTCATGGGAAATGGTGGGATCGATGGATTTTTTTTTGGAAATAGGAAAAGTCAGGTATATTAAAAAGCAGAGATATTATTACAGAGCGCAAATGTATATATATATATATATATGTGGAATGGGGTTTATAAACCAACAAACCTGATCGCGGGGCAGGTTTATCATCATAAGACACCACAATGCTGGTGCCGGATACCATGGCATACCATGGCCAAACTTCGAGACCCTTCATTTACTCTTAGCTGGCTCAGGCAACATACCCCCATCTAAACTCGCAAAGGATTAGAACAAAACCCAAATTGATGCCGAAAAATGAGAGACCTGGACATATTAATTTCAAGTAAATCTCATCTTATTCTATCCTAGTAACCACCCACTTTTTGGCACTTGTTTGGGGGCTTTCATGGTTTGAAAAGGTCATGATTCCTGAGCCCGCCTCCACCTCATTCAACTTTGTGGAGCTGGGCATGGCCTTTACATTGTCGCCTCGGAGACATGGCGATAAAAATACAGAAATCATCTTAGATAACTGGGATATCATACAAATAGATTTTGAAGACACTGCTAAATAAAGTATGTGCGTATTTTTTGTTTGTTTTGCTCCCCATGTTAGATTTTATCAGGGCGCATGCCCGCCTCCTCCTCCTCCGCCTCCTCCTCCTCCTCCTCGACTAGCTGTCCTCCTCAGGACCTCCTCGCCCTCCTCCTCGCCCTCCTCCTCGCCTCCGCCTCTTCCACCTCCACTTCCGCCTTGCCAACCTTGCCAACTCGTCGCCAAGCTCTTCGCCAACTGCCCAGCTCAGTGCGCACTGCTGGACGTCAACCTGCGAGCTGCCCAGCTCAGTGTGCACCGCTGGACCTCAACCTGCGAGCTGCCCAGCTCAGTGTGCACCGCTGGACCTCAACCTGCGAGCTGCCCAGCTCAGTGTGCACCGCTGGACCTCAACCGGGGACCTGCCCAGCTCAGTGTGCACCGCCAGATAGAATCCCAGAAGATTTGCCAGATAATATGCCAGAAGATATGCCAGATAGAATGCCAGATAGAATGCCAGAAGATATGTCAGAATATATGCCAGAAGATATGCCAGATAGAATGCCAGATAGAATGCCAGAAGATATGTCAGAATATATGCCAGAAGATTTGTCAGATAGAATGCCAGAAGATTTGCCAGATAGCATGCCAGAAGATATGTCAGATAGAATGCCAGAAGATTTGCCAGTAAGAAAATGTATAAATGTCATGGTGGGGATCACCAGAAGTATTTTTTTTACTCGTTTCTTTTACTACAATTAGATAAGCAAATGATTAGGTCTGTTGTTTGGGTTAGATGGATTAGACAATTTTGCTTGTTCATTTTCTGCACTGGCCAAACAATGAGATACTGAAGGAGATAGCATCTATTTCTTGTTACCAGAGAAGTCTCTAAACTCTAAACAGACTCAAACCATGCAACCATTTCGTATTGCTTACATAGGGGTACATCCCTGCGTCCCCAATCATCTGCTGATTAAATCATCATTTACAATGCTCGAAACCAAATATTTTCCGATTCAAGATCCAAGTTTTACTTTAAAACCATCCAGAACTTCCAGTTTTCTAGTTTGCAACAATTAGTTTTCTCAGTTAACACTACGCTTTCTGATGTTTTCCCAGTTTTTGACCGTTCCTTCCACCTTTTGTACATGTCTATGATACCTCACGGCCACCGAGCTACGTGCTTGTTCCAAAGCAACCACATCCACTTCGCCGGCCTAACGAGGCATCATGGAACTCATAGGGAGTTATGTTGATGCATTGCCCTCTGGTAATTTAACGTAGCTATTGAAAATGACCATTAATAGTGGATTTTCCCATTAAAAATGGTGATTTTCAATAGCTATGTTAAATTACCAGAGTGTATCCATGTAGTAAAGGGCACAATGGATTATACCCTCTGGTAAACATACAAAAAACTATGGAAAATCACCATTTTTCATGGGAATATTCACGAACTAAATGGTGATTTTCCATAGTTATGTTAAATTACCAGAGGGTAATATCAAGGATGCATTGTGATGTATAATGGAATATTTAATGTCATGATGTATTTTGATGTGTTTGTAGCGGATCACATTGCAAAATCTTTTGTATGGTTTTGATGGAAATCATGGATTATATATCCCATAATCCCCAATCATAACATCAATGATGTATTGATCACCCTCCAGTAAATGAACACAAACCCTGGAAGATAGGGCTTGGAAGATTCGTTTCCACTAAACATATGTTATCTTCAAGGTCTATGTTAATTGACCAAAGTGCATGTGATTATATTGATTCCCCATGATGTATTGATGCTCATGATTATGAAAAATGTAAGCCCGCATGATTATATTGTTTATATTTTGTGGGTCCACTTCATATATATATATATAATCAATACACATCAGTTCATTCCCATGTTTGATGGAACTATGAAATTATCCGTACTTAACATAGCAATGGTCTCTGTATTTCAATGGATTTAAATAAGTACTAATAAGTCAACACCCATACCGAAAATATGCATATGGTTTTTAAATCATGCGGGTTTTGATGGACATAATCAATGGGAATTCCAGGATCCTAAAATGGAGGTACTGTACCATATAAGGCCATATTTTGCTGGGATATCCCCTTACATAGGCCTGAATTTTAGGCCTTATATATGGTAGGTACCTCCATTTTAGGATCATGAAATTCCCATTGAAATAATGAACGCCAATCTAGATCTGTGAGTTACCACCTGGTTAGGTAACATAGCTATGAAAGCCATTGCCCATTAGGTTTCATGATCACAATCATGATTTACCACTTTGAACAACGTTGATTTTCCAGTTCGCTTAGCCGCAAGGCTAAATAACCAGAGATGATAATACACATACCCTCTGGTAAACTAACAGTTTGCTCTTGAAAATGGCCATAGAAAGAGTTGATTTACCCTTTAAAAATGGTGGATATTTCCATAGTTTTTTGTATGTTTACCAGAAAGTAATCAATGGAAATCATTCATGGAAATCAATGAATCGGATTAGTTGCTGGGCGCAGAACCGCAAACCAACCCGATTTGCGGCCACGGCCATGGGGCCATGGCTATGGAGAGTTCCCCCAATCGAAATCTCGAAAACATCCAGTGACAAAAAAGGACGATTTGGTCGTTCGCTTATCCAGCAATCTGAACATCATCAAATGTGTTGCTGCACAGGATTTTTGAAAAACCGTGATTTGCCGCCAAAATATTCCCCATCAAAATTTCCCATCGAGTATCTCATCCCATGAAATCCCCAAAATTTCGATGGAAATTTATCTCATTCTTCCACTGGAACTAGCGTCATCCCAGCGGTCCCAGATGGTCCCAGCAACCCGAGATTTGCGTCCATCCATAATCCCTAAATTGAGTATCTCAGATATCATCCTCATTCTTCCATTCTTCCATTCTTCCATTTTTGGATGATTGGATTCGATACATTGGGTTCGATACTAGCCTCATCAATCAAGAATCCCATGAAATTCTAGGATGTCAATTCTTCCATCATCCTCATTAATTCATAATCCCATGAAATCCTAGCATTTTTGGTAATCCAGTCACAAGAGCCCTGTCTCACCTGCGCCTGCACCGCCATCCTCAATTGGATTCAATTGGGAGATCATGGTACATGTTGCTAACAATGGTGGTAGAATGGAAATACCATGGGAAAGATCCTAGGAATAATTTGGGACTATAAGACTATAAGAGTATATATATATATATTCCATGATTATATAGTCATATAATTTGCTATAGTCATTCATCCATGGTTTTTTTTGGGACTATCATGGAACGTATTGGATTATATGACTATAATATGAACATTCGCATGTGAATGTAATGGGAATGTCATGGGAATATAACGGGAATATGTTGAGATACCCTCTGGTAGTCACCTGGAAAATCCCCCGAGGCATGGAGGGTTCATGAACCAAAGTAAGACGTTGTTCCCCACCTGCCAGGTGAGGGTTGTTAGATTTTATGTCAGTTGCCTCCTCGTCCTCCTCCTCCTTCTCCTCCTCCTCCTCCTTCTCCTCCTCCTCCGCCTCCTCCTGCCTCGTCCTCCTCTCCTCCTCCTCCTCGTCCTCCTCGTCGTCCTCGTCGTCCTCGTCGTCCTCGTCGTCCTCGTCGTCCTTGCTCAACTGCGACCCGCGATCCACAGTGTTCTCTGCCGGACCTCAACCACGACCACCCACGCCCAGTGTTCCCTGCCGGACCTCAACCACGACCATCCACGCCCAGTGTTCCCTGCCCGACCTCAACCACGACCATCCGCGCCCAGTGTTCCCTGCCGGACCTCAACCACGACCATCCGCGCCCAGTGTTCCCTGCCGGACCTCAACCGCGACCATCCGCGCCCAGTGTTCCCTGCCGGACCTCGACCACGACCATCCACGCCCAGTGTTCCCTGCCGGACCTCAACCGCGAGTATCCACGCCAAAAGATATGCCATATAGAGTGCCAGAAGATATGCCAGATAGAATGTTAGAAGATATGCCAGATAGAATGCCAGAAGGTATGCCAGATAGAATGTCAGCTAGAATGCCAGAAGATATGCCAGATAAAGTGCCAGAATGTTTGCCAGATAGAATGTCAGCAGATTTGCCAGATAATATGCCAGAAGATATGCTAGATAGAATGCCAGATGGAATGCCAGAAGATATGCCAGAACATATGCCAGAAGATATGCCAGAAGATATGCCAGAACATCTGCCAGAAGATATGCCAGAACATATGCCAGAAGATATGCCAGAAGATATGTTAGAACATCTGCCAGAAGATATGCCAGAACATCTGCCAGAAGATATGCCGGGTAGAATGCCAGAAGATATGCCAGATAGAATGCCAGATCGAATGCCAGAAAATATGTCAGATAGAATGCCAGAAGATTTGCCAGTAACAAAATGTATAAATGTCATGGTGGGGATCACACGAAGTAAAGTAATTTTCTAAAGGATTTGTCTACCTTTGAAGTATACTACCAAGTAAGAGTTTATTTACCAAGGTATATTTCTGGTATATGGTATATTATCTTTAAGTTCTCTTCAAGTGTTGGTTCATTTTTTTCGAATAAGAGGATCACGTTAGGATGGAGTTCCAACAGCACTCTCAGATTTGCTTTCCACTCAAGTGGAACACATCACATCTGCTTTGGCACCAAAATTGATATTTCATGTTCTGACATTCTCTAATCTATCTACCTATATTCTATCAACATCTATAAACATATCCATATATATATATACCATCTGGTTATTTAACATAGCCATGGACGGAAAATTCACCATTTTTAATAGGTAAACCTTCTATAAATGGGCCAGTCCCATGGCTATGTTAAATAGCCAGAGGGCAATTCACTGATCACCAGGGTTCACTACTTGGTGTTTACGCGGTACCTTCATGCTGCTCCATGCTGCTCCAT